GCCTCTGCTGCAAGCAAAGCCTTTCCACACACGGCATCCCATCTCTTGCCACCACGTTTCCATATGACAAGACTGCCCTTGGCCCTGGTGCCACGTCTGAGGTGCTGCAGCCCAAATGGGCCCCACAGCCTGGGGCACAGAGAGCAGGAGCCCCGTGTGCCACCACAGAGCTGTGACAGGAGTGGAAGAAGGGCTGAGGTGGAGAAGGACAGCTCCCATGGCTTTGGTGGTGTGGGGAGATGCAGAGTCTTTCGGAGAGACCGACAGGGAAGATGAGGAGCAGGGGATCTCCTGTTTGATGTCAGGGCAGCTCAGATATCTGAGCTCTTCAATTGGATAGGCAAGAGTGTAGGCGAGAGCTGTGTGTGGTCAAAGGAGAACCCAGAAAGTTTTCTAAAAGTCAGTTTTCTAAAAGCTAGCTAGCCATTCTTTTTTACATCAAGACCTGACCAGATAAAATTATGCTTATTTTGCAGAATGTTTGAAATATAATTCCTACTAACAATTTGAGTAGAGAAACATTCTTCACAGGAACTGATGCGTTTATGTTGACATATTATACAGCTCCTCTTCTGACTTCTTTTTTCTTTTCTTCTTCTTCCTCTACCTATTCTGTCTTCAAAAACCTCTCCGAGGGAAAGATTCATGGAATCACAGAATAACTGACGTTGGAAGAGCCCTGAACAACATCGTGTCTGACTCTCCTGCTCCAGGAAGGGTGAACTAGATGAGGTTGATCAAGGCTTCTGCCCAGCTTTGCATCATCCCCAAAGGTGCTGAAAGTGCGCTCTGTCCCATCATGCAGGGCAATCGTAAAGATGTTCAAGCGTGTTGTTGCGTGTGCTGGTCTTTGAGGGACGCTGCTAGTAACTGGCTGCATGGAGGACTTTGTACCACAAGACATTTGGCACTGGTCATCCAGGCAACATCCCACCCACAACAACGTCCGCTTCTTCAGCCCGGAGAGCACCAATCTGGCTATAAGGACACCACAGGAGGCTGTGTCAAAGGCCTTGCAAAACTCCAGGTACACAACATGCCCTTTGTTCCCCTTGGTATTTTGGTTCAACAATCCCTTTCTTGTCCTTCATCTACCTGGAATTGGCTGCAGGACGACATGTCCCATCACCTTCCCAGGGACGGAGGTAGGCTGACCAGCCTGTAATTCTCCAAAATCTTCTGAAGATGGATTTGATGGCTCCTCTCTGTGGACCCCAGAACCTCCCTGATTACTCTGGCACTTTTGAGGGTACAGTCCAGAACCACAGGCAAGGGTGTCACAATAAACAGGAGCCCTTGCAATGAGCCTGTCTGAGGCAGCTGAGATGAATCTCACTGGGCCAGTGGGGCTTGTTCCTGGAAACACACACAGAAATATCAGGGCTCTGCCAGGTCTCCACATCTGAGCTGGCCTCATGCACTCATCTTACCCACAGGGCTGCTCAGAAACATGAGTCCTTGCACACACAGGCAGTGCAGGGCAGGAGTTGTAGTGCCTCTCTGGCCTCCTCTTCCCTCTCCCAGAGGCTGGCAGGCACCTCAGCCCTGCGTGTGTCACGTTGCTCTGCACTCATATGAGATGCCCCACGGCAAGAGAAATGGACGCAGGGATGTTGGTTCAAGGAAGCCCACCCCAGTGCTGCATTCCGGTGGTTTCCCAGGGTCACTACTCTCAACGTGAAGTGACCTCAAGATCCTGTCTGTCCCACTGGCCTTCATGACACCCCCAGGAACAGCTGATGGCATTTGTACTCATTCAGTTTCGTCTCATCTCATGGGCGTGATGTACATTCTTACATCTCACCTGCACAATGTGAACACGGACGTCTGACCTGGTCGTTCAGTGTCCCTCCATGGAGGGACGAAGGACCCCCCCGAGATGGGGTGAGAGGCAGTGCTGGAAATGGTGGTTGTGAGGCACTAGTCCATGATGGTCGCCCTGGTGTTGTGGTTTAACTCAGGCCAACAGCTAAGCACCACACAGCCGCTCACTCACTTGCTGCCCCCCACCGCAGAGGCATGTGGGAGAGAATCGGAAGGGCAAAAGTAAGAAAACTCGTGGGTCAAGATAAAGATGGTTTAAGAGGTAAATCAAAAGCTGCCCATGCAAAAGGAGGAATTCAGGCCCTACTTCCCATCAGCAGGCAGGTGCTCAGCCATCCCCAGGAAATCAGGGCTCCATCACACCTAACACGTGGGAAGACAAATGCCATCAATCCAAAAGGCCCCCCTTCCTTCCTCTTCCCTCAGCTTTTTATTGCTGAGCATGACATCATACAGTATAGAATATCCCTTTGGTCAGCTGGGGTCAGCTGTCCCGGCTGCGTCCCCTCCCAATTCCTTGTGCACCCCCAGCCTACTTGCTGGTGGGGTGCACCGAGGAGCAGACAAGGTCTTGACTCAGTGCAAGAACTCTTTGGCAATAACTAAAACATCCCTGGGTCATCAACACTTTTTTTCAGCACAAATCAAAACCACAGCCCCCTACCAGCTACGATGAGGACAAATAACTCTGTCCCAGCCCAAACCAGCACAGGCAGCTTCCCCAGGGTGTCCAATGAGCACAGGCACAGACCAGACCCTGCTCTGCTGGTCTTTCAGGTCTCTCCCAGGAGGCCTGGCTGTGTGAGGACACTGCTGTTTGCCCCCACCCTGCACACTCATACTCTTCAGCTCTTCACTGGTGTTTTCATCTGTGGGACACTTTCTTGGGCATGTTATTGAGAGCAACTTTGGAGGAAGACCTGCCCTGAGGAGATTCTCTTTCATGATGGAACTGTATTGCAGAGATGCCTGTTGCCTGTCCCTGCCTGTGGTCACAGGACTACCACGCAGCAGGACAATGAATGACCATGCTGCCAGAGCAATCAGGCCTTCCAGCACACAAGGACTCAGAGGGAGAGTGTGGAAGTGGAAAGAGAAGAGCTCTGGGAGACCAAGAACTCTCTAGCAGTGCTGCCATGCTGGGAACTCTCTTCCCCTCCACCTCTGCACAGAGGAATTCTCTCTGCAGCTCAAACGGTCTTGGAGGAAGGAGATCAGAAAAAAAATTAAAAGTCTCTGCAGGGCCCGTTATTTTCTTTAAACACACAGAGAGCAGAGCTCCGAGTTTACATAGCCACTCAGCTGGGAAAGGAAATCAGACAGTGAATTAGAAAGGAAATAGCAAGTAAAACACCGTCAAAACCAGCAAAAAGTACAGACGACAGGCTGGGCCTGTGCTGAGTTACATGGGAACTGCTATGCAGAAGAAGATGGGCAGTTTCTTGCTTCTGAATACCAGCCAGTCATCAGCTTGCAGACTGCTCCCTTGAGCTCCTGGTTCCTCACACTGTAGATGAGGGGGTTCGCTGCAGGAGGCACCACCGAGTATAGAACTGCTGTCACTAGGTTCAGGGATGGGGAGGACATGGAGGGGGGCTTCAGGTAGGCAAACATGGCGGTGCTGACAAACAGGGAGACCACGGCCATGTGAAGGAGGCAGGTGGAAAAGGTTTTGTGGCGTCCCTGCTCCGAGGGGATCCTCAGCACGGCCCTGAAGATCTGTACGTAGGAGAAAAGAATGAAAACAAAACAACTAAAGACTAAATAGGCACTAACCACAATTACCCCAGCCTCCCTGAGGTAGGAGTCTGAGCAGGAGAGCGTGAGGATCTGGGGGATTTCACAGAAGAACTTGTCGAGGGCATTGCCATGACGGAGTTCTACTGAAAATGTATTGGCCATGTGCAGCACAGCATAGGGAAAAGCAGTGCCCCAGGCTGCTGCTGCCATTTTGGCACAAGCTCTGCTGCCCAGGAGGGTCTCGTAGTGCAGGGGTTTGCAGATGGCAATGTAGCGGTCATAGGCCATGACTGTGAGGAGACAATACTCTGCTGTGAGCAAGAATAGAAAGAAAAATTGCTGAGCAGCACATCCTGAGTAGGAGATGGTCTTGGTGTCCCAGAGGGAATTGGCCATGGCTTTGGGGAGAGTGGTGGAAATGGAGCCCAGGTCAAGGAGGGAGAGGTTGAGGAGGAAGAAGTACATGGGGGTGCAGCTCCCGTGTGTCTGCAAATGCCATGAGGAGGAACTCTGTGATGGAGAAGCTGTTGCACAATTTCTTCCCCTGGGCATGGAGAAGCCTCTGTGGAAGACAGTGAGAAGTCAGGCAGACTCAAAAATACCTGTTCAGGTACTCTTAGAGACCCACCAAACTGCCTCTTCCCTTTCAGGAAGACATTGGGCACATCCTTTTTGGACACTCTGATTGGTGCTGGATGAAGGTCTACCAGGGAGCTGTGAGCTCTGCAGGATCCTGTCCTGCCCTACAGAAATAGGGAAATAGGAATAGGGAGTGATCTCAGACTAAATTCTCTTGTGGCATGAACAAGCTTTTCAGCATTGTCACTCCCAATTCGCCTGCCTACAGAGTAGAGCAGAAGAACTTTTTGTTTCTTTGTTCTGTTCCAGTTTGCCCACCGCAGCTGAGGAGAGTTTTGAAGGCAGAGATCCCCAGCATTTCTGCTGCACTCCAAGTGAAACCTTGTGGGTCCTAAGAGACAAAGGGACTGCCCCTTAGCGCAGGGTGGGGACAGCCGGTCTGTCCATCACTGCTGCTCTCAGCTGCCCTGTGCTGGCATCTCTTTGGTTGGAGAATGATCACGCTTAGACATTCCCCCGAGAAGAAACTGGACACTGCTGACAGCAGAGGAGTCAGATTGACAAGTGCACCTCTCCCACCCCCTCCCACAGTCTCCTCGTACCTGAGGAGGGTCTCAGCTCTGCTCTCCCAGCCAGGGACACACAGGGCTCATTGAAGCTGCCCACACCAGCCTTCCAGCAGGATTCTCATGGCCTTGGCACTGGCACATCTTCTCTGTGGGGCTCCTGGAAAACAGAGATGCCATGGGAGAGCTCTGCCCTTGTGGAGGTCAGCCTGCATCCCAGCAGGATCCTCCAGGGAAACAGTCAAAAGTCCTACAGTTGGGGCATCCTGAAGCAGGGTCGGCTTACTCCCAGCCCCACATGCTGCCGTCCTCAGAGCCCCAGGTATTAGGGGATTTGGGTGCTTTTCCTTCATGGATACGCCTGCAGGAGAGGACATGCAGCATCAGTGTCTGAGCTGCACCTGAATCCTCACCCCCTAACCACAGAGAGAAAAAGGGGAAGAAGAAGGGCAACAGAGGCAAGAGGAGAACATGCCAATGTTCTCCTGCCAGGAGAGTCAGGACGGGGAGACCCGGTCAGGAACTCAAGCATTTCTCCTCTTTGGTGGTTGGG